AGGCGGCTGTTTCTGGCTGAGGCGTGGGTGCTCGACCTGCAAACTGCCCTCGCCGCCCTGCGAGAGAAATTCCCTTTGCAAGGCGTGCAGGAAACCGAGGGAGGGGACCTGAGGCCCTGTTAGCAATAGCCTCTTGCCGTGTAGCAAAGTCCGAGACCGAAAACCACCACAATCTGCTGGTAATACTCTGTATCTCCCTTCCCTGAGAGGAAAAGAGGAGCTGGTTCATCTGCAGAGGTTAACAAAGACACTGTAACTAAACCCCACAGAATCTGAACTTTTTTCCAACCCCTCACTTCAAAAAGTGCTTGTTATCTCTGGTTAAATACCTGAAATACCACAGAAGAAAATCACCACAAATTACGATGCTCTCAGTAAAGCTGGCATCATTGCTTTATTGATTCCAAATCTGAGGGGAAAAACAGTTTAATTTACCATTGCTTTTACTCCCCCTACATTGTACACAGCAGGGAGTACCGATTTGAGGCAAGAGAAGTAAATGTTCCTGTGCAGGACCGTGGTTTTTGATTTGTACCTCTGTACTGTTCTTTGAGATTGAGAAAGCACCAGTATGTGGCAGGAATACAGAGAACAACAAGCATTCTGTACATTAGGAAGGGTGTACTGGTGAGAGAAAGATGAGTGCTTCTAGATAAAAGAGAGGCATCCTGCTCCTCAGTTAAAAAGCCATTGCACTCTGCAAGTGGTTAGAGCTGCAGTATTTGTGGCTAACTTGTGCAACAGACACCCGGGAGGACAGGTTTTTAAGAGCAACTCGTTCCCTTGAACTAAAGGTTTCACTGATAGAGGAAAAGTCCTAAGGGATTAGGCTGCACCTCTGCCGGAAATTCCCGTTTCAGTCCTGACTCAGCAGAGGTGACCAACAGGTCTAGTGTTTCTTTCCAAGAAGGATGGGTGGCAAGCAGCCCATGATCAAGATGTGGAGACAAGAGGCTCGTATTCACAACCGTGATTTATATCTTCAGGCTGCACAATACTAGCCTAGTAACAGAAGCTCTGCCAGGCACAGAGTGCAGCTGTGGCAGGATGGGGGTGGAATCCAGCTGTGCTCCCAGTCAATATAAGACAGAAAGACTGTTTCCACTGGGGTATCCCCCTCTCCACTCCCAGGGAGAGAACTGGTGAACAGGGGAGGGAAACAGATCAAGCTGTAACAGACGATGTAATTTAAGGCTGGAGATTAGCTCCTGACTTCAGCCCTGTAGCAGATTCCTGGCCACAATCATCCGCATCACCTCGTTGGTACCTGCAGCAGGATGAGTATGCAAAAGACAGTTAGGAGATGGTCCAGTTCTGCCCCCAATGAAGGCAAAGAGAATTCTTCCCTGAGCTGCAGTTTACAGCACAGAAAAGCTCTTCCCACCAATTGAGGTGGCATGTAGGAGGCGTTGGGCCAAAATACAACTGCTAAGTGCCAGCACATTGCTCAGGAAAGGCTTCAGAGTGGTAGATGCTGGTGCTTCTTTTTATTTGGGCATTGAGAAGATGCAGGCACCAGGCATCAAGCACAACTTGATATATATCAACATCCGAGTTCTCTGCTTTACTATTTAACACATGTACAACACATAGAAAGACTGTGGACCTACTCGGTATTGGAA